TCGATGAGTGCTCCCTGTGGAATCCCCTTTAGAGTGCGTATATTACGCAGCACCACTGGTATTACAAACGGACGTATAGGACCGCTCACCATAGGGTCCTCCGGTCCACTGTCATCGCTGCCATCCGTTAACGTCGGCAAAACCCCTTCCCCCGAAGGGCTCTGCACACCGGTTAGTGTGGATCGGGAACAGCTAGCGGGCATCGGTGTGGACGTGGATGGCCGCTCTGATGTCGATCGTGCCCTCTCCCGCACCTTGGCTCCGGACGGTGGGGTGCGTGCCGGTGTTGCTTGCAAGGGGGGTATGGGACACTCGGCAGCCCGGTGTCCTAGTTGGTTGCACCGGAAGCAACGGAAAGCCCCTCGTCCTACGCCTGATGTTGGTCTGCTGGGTGCGGGGCTCACCCCATACTCTTTTGGTTTCGTTCCGGTTGTCATAAAACGCTGGGTTTGGCCCACGCGCCCTCGAAACTCCCGGAGCCCAACTTCTAGCTCGACTGCGGCCTTAAACCATTCGGACAGTTTTGGGGGTAACCCACGGTATACGCAGGCTTGTTTCACCTCCCTGTCCAGGCCAGAACGAAACTGGTGTACTAGTAATCGTTCTGGCCACGACCTAAGTCTTCCTGCCAATGTCCGGAAGTCCTTTACGTATTCTTTGGCCGGCCGGCCTCTCTGTCTCAGCGCCAGCAATTCTCCCTCGGTGACCTGGACTCTGGCGCTATCTTCAAAACGTCCTCGCAGCGCCTCCAAAAACAGCCCTACGTCAGCCAGTTCCCTAGCATGCTCGCTATGTAGGTCTGCCACCCAATTAGCGGCCTCCCCCTGGAGAACTGCGGTTATGGCCATGACTACAGCCCATTGTGAGGGATACAGATGGCCATAGAGATCCGTGTGACTGAGCACTTGACTCAGAAAAATAGAGACCCTATCGGGGCTCCCGTCAAACGAGGCCTGTATAGGGGGAGGACCCCACACCGCGGGATGTTGCTGTGGCCATAATCCGGGTGGCAACATCATGGGGGGGGATGGCTGCTGGCTCCACTGTCCTGTGCCGGGGCCCCTGACCGCGGCTGTCCTCCAACACCACTCTGGTCCATCCCCCTCCTCGCCACCCTCGGCTGCCGTTCTTGGTCAGTGTCGCGGGGCGGCTCGCTTGCTGAGGAAACCCTGGGTCGAGACTGTCCCATCGGTTGGCCCCTGCTGCCTTCCCTCCGTCCTACCCGCAACTTCGGGCTTGCTAAATGGAACCGGGACTCCCGACCACCTCCTCCTCTCTGCCACGAGTCAGTAGCCTCCGTTCCCATCCAGGGTTGCCAGGACGCCGCATCTCTGAAACTCCCTTCCCCGAACTTTTCCCTTAAGATATCCAGGGTGGATGCTCCGATGCCAGTGGACTGGTTTCCATCGCATTCGTCATCGTCTAGCAGCCACTTTCTCTCTCTCCAGCCACGGAAGGAAGACTTCCCCGAGTAACCCCCAGAGGTTGGGGCTTTATAGGTGCCGGAGCCCGCGAGAGCGGAGCTCTGCCACCACTCCCCTGCCGAGCTCTTCGTCCGCTGCATCTCGGTCGAGTCCTGGGTCTCAGCGGCACCTTCCGCATGGTGCGGCTTCCTCTCCTTCGCTCTAACCACTGGAGAGTCTTTGGGGCTCAGCTCCGCCGCTTGCAACACGGTGTTGTCTTCCTCCAGCCCCTCGGGGGACGCCGCCCCAGTTTCCGCTCCCTCCGCCATCCCGTCACTCTCGGCGTTACTCACGGTGACAAAGGGCAACGCCGACTTTCTCTCAGCTCTCTCGCTCACACCCAAGGTCGGTAATAAGCCACGCTGCAGTCAAAGCTCGTTAAAGCAGGAAACGGTTTATTCAGCGTCCGGAGGTGCTGCAAATGCTTGCTGAGTTCAGGTAAAGATAATACAAAGTCGGCGTTGGGAGCCGCCGCCACTCAGCTTCAGTTAAATAAGCGCGCCCATTAGCCGTACTTCCGGGCTCCTCCCCGCCGGCGCGTCCCAGCATTCAGGAACGGCAACGCGTAGCAGCTGCTCATCATCCTATCATGGCCGCGTTGTGACCGCCCGCCTACTTCTTCTCACACCCGCCTCCACCAAATCGTGCTCAGTCCTTACATCCCAGTTCAGACCCCCACCACCCCCCTTCTCGGTGCTTCCGCTTCTGCAGGTGATATCCCATCGTCAGATTGTCGAGCATGGGGTCTCGACAGATACGTGCTGAGGCTTCCTGGTGCAGCTAGTTGGCTGCTGGGCTAGATGGACCAAGGGCATTGCTTATTTTCTTAGGATTTATTCCAATACTGCCTTGATTCCTAATGTTACGTTTCTCTTGCTGTAAGGAAGCCTGAGAAGGACCATTTTTAAGGTTAAGTTCAGAATAATTCCCAGAAATATCAGATATAGAATACTGGAAGGTTGCACGGAGGAGATTCTCATTCATAGGAAGCTAAAATAATGAAAACAATGGTCAATAAAGAATACCTAAATTAAAAAGGTAATGTTATAGAACAGGGGTGTCAAACTCAAAGCCCGGGGGCCGGAGCCAGCCCGTGGGATACTTAGATATGGCCTGCGGGGAATAGATCTGGCCCTGGAAATAGCGAAGGACTGGCCTGGTGTGCTTCTGCCAGTGAAAACAAGTTTCTGAGCTCCGTTTTTACCTGCCACGCTCTCCTGCAACCCTCTGCCAGTGAAAACAGACCTCAGGAGGGCTACGTGCTCCGTTTTCACTGGCAGAAGGTTGCAGGAGGCTGTGGCAACCGAAAACGGAGCTCGGGAGCCTGTTTTCGCTGGCAGAAGCAGCATGGGCCACCACAAGCGTCACACCCACCCTGGTCACGCAAGCCCCCCCCCCGGTCAAACACAACCCTGATGCAGCCTCCAATGAAATCGAGTTTGACACCCTTCTATAGAAGATACTATTTATTTATTTTGATTTATATGCCACCCTTCTCCGGAGACTCAGGGCGGCTTACAATGCGCTAAGCAATAGCCTTCATTCTTTTGTATATTTATACAAAGTCAGCTTATTGCCCCCACAACTGGGTCCTCAATTTACCTACCTTAGAAAGGATGGAAGGCTGAGTCAACCTTGAGCCTTGGCGAGATTCGAACCTGCAGTAATTGCAGGCATCTGGTCTTAATAACCAGCTTAATAACAGGGTGCCTTAGACCACTGTACTACCAGTACTACCACTGTACTATGGATGTGAACAAAAGATTGTGACCATTTATCTGTCAGAAGGATTTACCATCTATTGTAATCCAAACTATCAATCTGCAACTGTCTTATTAAAATTAAATAATTGGTGATGTGTTTTGTCTCCTTTGAATCTTTCTAATAAGAACTAGCTACTGTACTGCCTGGCCTATATGAACTGAAGAGGAAATATACCAGCTATTAATAATACTCTGATCTAAAGTTACAAATGTAAATAGCACTAGAAATTATGGCACATTTTCCAGATTTCTTTGGTTTTTGCACTTGTAAATTGGAATAGATAAATATGAACCTGACTGGGGTTAAAGAGTTCAAACACATGATTATCAACCTCTTTTACAGAGAGCTAGGTGAGACAGTTCCTATGTAATTTGGGTCCTACGTCACTCAACCTGATAACCAGATATCTTTTATATTAGGTATCACCAAAGTATTTGGGCAAACAGTGGGCTCATTATGATGAGTTCTAGTGAAATTCTTCTGGGTGCAGCAACCGCTGTTTGCCCTAAGGAGTGAATGGTGCAATCGATCTTGAAATAATCTTTGCACATAGGCCATCATTTGTTCACATGCAAATATCTAAATTGGTTTGGGCTTCCAGTCCTCCAAGAAACAGGCTGTAGGAATTGCTGCAATAGCACTTACTTGGTTTTCCACAACTAGTTTGGGATTTATTTTTTTAAGAAAAATATATTACGATAAATTTAAATGGATGACTTGGGAGAAGTGTTATTCATCTTTTTTTTCCACTGTCTGATTCACCACAACCCCTCTCATTGTGCCTTCAGACCTCTAGCTTAGATTCTTCATTGCATTTTAGGCCCATGTTCTGAATCGTGTAGGAAATTGGAACTGAATTGAAATCGATGAAGAAGAATAAGGTACGTTTGCAGCAGAGGTGGGTTTCAGCAGGTTCTGACCAGTTCTGGAGAACCGGTAGTGGAAATTTTGAGTAGTTCAGAGAACCAGTAGTAAAAATTCTGACTGGCCCTGCTCCCAATTATTCTCTGCCTCCCAAGTCCCAGCTGATCGGGAGGAAATGGGGATGTTGCAGTAACCTTTCCCTGGAGTGGGGAGGGAATGGAGATTTTACAGTATCCTTCCCCTGCCACGCCCACCAAGCCACGCCCACAGAACCCAATACTAAAAAAAAAAAAAATTGAAACCCACCACTGGTTTGCAGTCTTGAATTATTGATAAATAATAAAGGGGGAATAAAAATCATAAAATAACCCAGTAGTGTCTAAGATCTGGATGGAAAGATTCATCCATCCTTGGCGTAGTATACAAATACTTCAATCCCACCTACTTCCAGGATCCTTTTCTCTCATTTCAATCTAGCCTTGCAATTGATCTCTATCCAGGATTCATCCCGTTTAGCTTAGCTTAGTTTTTAATCAAAACATTGCCAGGAGAGCCTTTATTGCTAGTGTCTGGACAGTGTGATTAATAAAAGGAACACACCACGTACAGGCCAGAGCACGTTGAACCCTTCTGCGAATCTCTCAGCATTTCTTTGCCAACCGTGATGAGGACAGATTTCCAAGGAATCGTGGAAACATTTTCCTTGCCAGCCATTCCCGCACATGCTCAGTGCAAACGGTTAGGCAAGCTATCGCCTGGGGCTGGAAGCCCACGCCCTGGAGGTTCCCTTTTAAAGGGATGGTGAAACCCGACCGCTCTTCCTCAACCGCGGCCTTAAGCAGCACATTCGTACTTCGCCGAGGACTTTTCCCCCCTCCGCCTGGGAGGATATTGCAGAGAGGGGTAGGCGGAAGGGAGGAAGCTTGTAGCAAGCGGCTGAAGCAATTCTGCTCCGGCTTGCAGATTGCAAACCCGAGAGAGAGAGAGAGAGAGAGAGAGAGAGAGATGGCCGCGGAAGAACAGCTCTTTTAGGCCTCTTTCCAGGAAAGTTAGTAAAAAAAATTTTTTAAAAAGACTTTCCTGTAGGCAAAAAAAAAGGGGGGGGGCTTTCACCCGCCGTTTGGAATTCAGAACTGCAGGGAAAGTCCAAAAGGCGTTGACAGCTCGGCTGCCCGGTTGCTTTGCAACCTTTAATTGAAATGAGGCGTGGATTGGTGGTTTGTAGTAGCAAAGGGAGGCTGTGACTATTCAAAGGGCCTCTTCCAGGAAGTTTAAAGGGTTAGACGTGGAACATCTGCTTTTCAGCGCCTGGATTCCTTTCCTGCCCTTCCTCCTTCCCTATCACACACACACACACACACACACACACACACGCAGTTAGGTTGTTGAGTCAACCCAGGCTGGGAAGAATCTCAACATTAATCATTTTGCTTCTTCCAGGATTTCTTGCAGTTTCGCCGGCGTTTCTCCCCAGCCAGACGTCTCCAGTAACTGCCCTAGCAGCCCAGAATACCACATTTTCCCTCAGGTACGACCATTGTATGTTTCTCTCTCTCTCTCTCTCTCTCTCCTGTCCTGCAGGTGCCACAGGGTGAGATTGACATAAAGCGCCCGGAATGGACAGTTTGTTTGTTTGTTTATTTATTTATTTTTATATGCCGCCCTTCTCCAGAGACTCAGGGCGGCTTACAATGCGTTAAGCAATAGCCTTCATACTTTTGTATATTTTATACAAAGTCAGCTTATTGTCCCCACAAACCGGGTCCTCATTTTACCCACCTTAGAAAGGATGGAAGGCTGAGTCGACCTTGAGCCTGGTGAGAATTGAACTTGCAGTAATTGCAGGCAGCTGGATGTTAAATGCTGCCTTAGTAGGAGGCATTAGCTTCCTAAGCCACTCAGGCTCCCTGTTTGCTGTGGCTCCCTTGGTTGGGAGCTTGCTTGACAGTTTCCTGTGGCTCCCTTGATTGGCACGTCGTTGTATGAATGCTTAACATAGGCCGGTGATATAAATCGACCTTTGCATCTTGAATACACCTGACTAAAAAGGGAGGTGCGTTTCAGTCAGTTGTGGAGCCTAAGGCAGCTTTTGCACTTTGCAGGTGCAGTGTGTGGCTGTGAGTTTGGAGTTACCTGTTGCACGGTATATAAATCGTCCCATGATGGGTTCCTTGTTGGATAGGAAGAGGAGAGACGTTAGGGCTGCCTGGTTGGGATTCTCAATTCCCTATATCCTGATAGGACTGCTGTTTGTCTGTGAAGCTGTACTGTTGCATTGAGTAGGGAAGTGCCCACCCCACCAATATCTGACAGAATGAAAAATTTAATAGAATTTAATAAATTTACTACTTTCCTTCTCTCTTACCTTACATTTGCTGGTTTAGGATTGCTGCTCTTGTTCCTTAATACAGAAGCTAACTTTTGGTTTTTTTCTAAAATGTCTTGACTACACTGCAGAAAAAACATTCTACTGTTTTTCACATATCCTGTTGTTATCTTTGGAACTGTATATGAATCTTGAAGTGGGGTTTATAGTGTCTTTATATTTGGTCCACTAAGTTCTGTAGATCATATTCCTTAAAGCAAGTAGAATGATTGCTCAAGTAGAACAAAAAAAAAATAGTTCCTTGGGTGGGGCGTTTCAGTCATTATCTAGGAGATCATCTGTGGTATATCATATTATATTTATTCTCCAGGCTTGAAAACATGGACAGTCTTTCTTCAGCAAATAGCACCTTTGCCCTCAACCTCTTCAAGAAGCTTAGTGCAAATGATCCTACCAAGAACTTGTTTTTTTCTCCTTTGAGCATATCTTCTGCACTACACATGGTCTTGTTGGGTGCCAAAGGTAACACAGAAGCTCAGATGTCAAAGGTATATCAAGATACATTTTATCAAAATGAAGAAAAAGGGGTTGACTAGGAGGTGGTCCCTACCCTTGATAGCCAATTATGACAATATCTAATTTATTTATTAAATTTAAATGCAGCCCATTTTGCAGTCATGCAACTCTAGGTGACTATGACTGCTCTAGAAAGTTCCAAATAAACCTATCAACTTAAAAAGGCTTCATTCCTAAAAGGAGGCTGTTTGTGCAATCCCCAATTGTCTGATTAGCTTTTGAAAAATGCAGCATGCACAAGGGATGCCATTGTTATCGGGACTCTTTAACTCTGCTCCCAATTCAATTCTCATCCACATTTTGGACTCTTATTTGCATGAGGAGGGAAGCAGCTGCTGTTTGCTTAGTACAATAGGGATTCAGGCGCTCTAGGCCTAACTTTTTAAAAGCCACAGTTGCTAACTATGTAAATAGTATTATTTGGGACAAAAGTCCTTAACTTGAAGTTCCAGGGTTTGAAAATCCATTTTTGTGGATATTCTTCACTACAATGACCAAAAATCAGAAGGACAATTTACTGATATACTGCGGTAGGAAAAACATTCCACCTCCAGTGTAAGACCTAAAATTGACATTTTTAAAAAATAGGAACTCCAAAGTTGGGGAGTTGGGAGATTGGTTCTGGCACATGTTTGTGCTTCAATCCAGGATACCCATAGCATTCATTCATTTCTCAAATTTATAGACTGCCTAGAGTCATTATGAATTTTGAAAATGCAAAATACAATAAAAATCAAAAAGAAGAAAATGACACAGGCCTATGCAACACATTAACAGAATCCACCTAAGGTACATACTTCTTAGCTCTGTACCTGCAGGTTCTTCAAGGCCCATTTAAAGAATGGCATAGTCAGGGGAACTTGAATCTCCAAGGGGAAATGGTTCCAGAGTGCAAGTATGACGAAGGCAAAACATGGCACTAAAGATCAGACCTGGAGCAACTCTGTTGTATCCTATTGAAACAATGGGAGAAAGGTGGCCGTGGAGCTACATGCCATGAAGATGTTATAGATGGCAATCAATCAACTTTGAATATCATCCAGACACTTTTGGATAACTTGCACAGAGGTGTGCCTATACCTGCCTATATTGCTCCATTCTAGACCAGATGCCGTTTCTGAGTGTCCTTCAAGAGTAGCTCTAAGAGGTGCTCTTTGCAGCAGCCCACATGTGAGGCAACTATGGAGTGAGTGACTAAGAGAAGGGATTCCCAGTCCAGGAAAAGGTCTGGTTTTTGCACCAGACAAATCTAGATAAAGCACCCTCACAAGCCACTGCTGACACCTGCAGTGACTATTGAGTCCAAGAAGACCCCATATCGCGCACAGGTTCTGTCTAAGGGAGCTCCACCCCATTCAGACTTAAAGTTGGAAAGTTCTGGTGCCAGGAGATGTCAGGTCAGGCACTGGGACATGACCTTGATAGTGTCCACTTCACACCAATCTTCCTAGAAGCATTCAGAAAGCCTTTGCCTTCAAAAGTGCTGCCTACCATTACCCTAAGAAATATTTTCTATTATAAATTTGGAGTATATACTGTATTTTTCAGAGTATAAGATGCACCTTTTTCGACCCAAAAAGAGGGTGAAAATATGGTTGCGTCTTATACTCCGAATGTAGCCCCGCCCAGCTTCTCAAACGGAGATTTCAGAGGCTGAAAAAAGCATCAGAAACGAAGCTTCAGATAAGAAGCCCCCAAACAGAGCTTCAGAGACTTTTTTTTTCTTGAAGCTCTCGGAGGCTTTCAGAGGTAGAAAAGAGAGTTTTTTTCTGAAATGGAGTTTCAGAAGTTTCAGAGGCAGGAAAAAAAGCAAGGCACAAAACTGACAATCAAGGAACCTGTTGCTAAAATTCACCTCTCCCGATCTGGGAACAGCTGATTGGGAGTATTCCCAGAGGCCGATCCACCTGCCAATCAGCTTTTTTCTTATTTTCCTCCCCAAAAACTAAGGTGCGTCTTATACTTCTGTGCGTCTTATACTCCGAAAAATACAGTAATGATTCAATTTGCTCAAAAGTTTATATAAAGAGTAAAAGTAGGAAGAAGATTGTTTCTTCTGCCTTTTAAAAAAAATCTTTATGCATGGAGGCACACTCTTTGGGCTTTAAAAACCTTCTTTTCCAAAGAAGGGACATTTCTGAAAATCCATCTCCTTTGCTTGTCCGTCAAATTGATTTTCCAAGGAGATCAATGATTAGGACTTTTAAACTTGTGAAGTCCAAATATGTACAGTGAAGTCAAGTCAAGCTTTACTTATAGGGACTTTATGGGCATCTATACTGTATGAGTTTCCATAGAAACTGCAAGGAACTGGTTTCCTGTAAGGAAAGGTTTTTTTTCTTGTATTCTACAAGCTTGGGGTTCAAACATTACCCAAATATTAAGTAGGCTCAACCTTGTTTAGCTTTGAAGCCTAGATGTGGTCAGCTATTAACTTTAAAAGCTATTCATCTGCAGGCCAAAAGTTAGCTCCAGATTACATGGGAGACCATTTGTAAGTTTTTCCAAGGTTTGCTATTGTTGCATTACATTTTGAATTGATTTTAAACATAATTTGATCATCCATATATCTCTTATAGGTGCTCTCTGTATCCAAAGATAGAGAGATTCACCAAAAATTCGAGAAACTTATTTCTGAAATCAACAAACCAGGTGCCAATTATATCCTCAGTCTAGCCAACCGGCTCTTTGGAGAAACATCATTCGATTTTCTTGCAGTAAGTTACATGCATGATAAAGAATTGGCTGGAAATAACCATAAATGTTCTGTGTGTTCCAATGTTTGAGTATCTCATTGAAATTGCAGCTTGGCTCTATAAAGTATCTAGTACTCCTATAGCTATAATTTGGTCTATTGAGTTATCTGAATGGGGAATTAAAAGCCAACTGCTTTTACTGGGACTGTTACAGCAACACCCAGTAAGATTTTAGCATCCTAAATATAGAACTCTCAAGAAAAGGCAAAACAGAACTGTGTGACCAATAATTGCCAGATATATAATAATTGAATAAGCAAACTGTATTAACTATTTGTAACGTGTATTCAGCCTAATAAATAATGTTTTTGGATTGTTAGTTCATAGAAAAATTAGGCAAAATCAATTCGTGTTTTTATTACTGCTTCTGTTGTTGAGATGTCATTGTTTCTTAAGTCATTTATAGAATCCACTGAGAAATTCTACCATGCAAGTCTGGAGAAACTTAACTTCACCCAAGCTTCAGAAGATTCGAGAAAACATATAAATGCCTGGGTAGAAGAAAAAACCTCAGGTGAGAATGATAAGAGTTAATTAGTAGCTGCATTAAGTAAGACATGCAATATTGTGTATGCATGACAAAGAGATAGATAAGGCAGGCAAACCCACCATAGTTAACCATTACTTGCTACGTAGAAGCCCATGAAACCTCAGATGAAATTCTAGCAAAGAATAAATTATTGGTTTGATGGACACTTCTGAACATATTTCCGTTATTTAACTTGCCTGTTGTTTAACTTTTATGTGTGTGGTAACCTTACTAAATAATGATATAACATGGGCAACTATATAAATGTTAAGGGCGGGAAGCTGTATGTATGTCTGGATGGATGGATGGATGGATGGATGGATGGATGGATGGATGGATGGATGGATGTAGGGAGGTAGGTTGGACTGGCCCTGAGGAAGCAAAAGCTATATTCCATCCTCAGTCAGAGGAGCTCTCTAGATGACTTCCTTGAGTTCCTGAAGGACAATCAAGATAGAAATCTAATAATTAAATAAAAATGGCTTTATTTTGGCTTACCTACAAACATGTCTATGATTTACTAAGTACTAAATTTACTAAATTATTGCAGATATTCTCTGACTTCCAAGTCCCAGCTGATCGGGAGGAAATGGGGATTTTGCAGTAACCTTTCCCTGGATTGGGGAGGGAATGGAGATTTTATAGTATCCTTCCCCTGGAGTGGGGAGGGAATGGAGATTTTACAGTATCATTCTCCTGCCCCTAGATAGATAGATAGATAGATAGATAGATAGATAGATAGATAGATAGATCTTTAGAAACCATCTTACAAGTGGCTTCCTAATAATTTTTTGTGCAATATTATGCATATAAATTTATCAATTTAAAAAGTTTTTTTTAAACTCTCAAAAAGGTAAAATTCAGGATCTGCTTGTCCCTGGAATAATTGATTCGCTTACAAGACTGGTTTTGGTGAATGCTATCTATTTCAAGGGAAACTGGGCAGATAAGTTCAACAAAGATTTCACAGAGGAAAAACCATTCCAGATTAACAAGGTATTCATTTATTAACACAGTAAAAGAGACATTCTGAATATTTTAAATTGTGTTACTTTGTATATAACTGAAGCAAGTGTGAAATTAATTTGAAACATTCCTGTAGGAAAAAAATTGCTTACTCCTTACATTTTATTGATCTTCATGGAAATGGATGAATCACGAAGATCAGTCATCTTGAGTCCTTCAGACTTTGTGTGTAGACATTCAGACTTTTCAGTCATTGAAACTTTGCACAGAGATTTTTAGTGCAGCACCACTCCCACTAATTCTATGTGATTAAGCACAGTAACTACAGGGTGATTACTGAATATATTTGCTGAGTATATGGATCTATTATGTATTATCACCTGGAAGTATTTGATGGAGGAGGAACAGGCACAATATCTATCTGCGTTGCTATTCGTGAAGAAAGCCAGTTTTAATATTGTAAACATCTGTTCATTTGAGAAAACTGCTGGTTAAAGCCACAGCGCAGCTCAACTTGCATGAGTGGCAAGCCAGCAGGCAATCACACACCTGCCTGCCGGCCCACTACATGCAAGTGATGTTGAGAATGTGGTTGCTAACCCACCAGTTGAGCAAGGGTTGCATGCCCCCCAGTTCCCTTCTCCCCCCTCAGCCTGGCTGCCAAGCCGCTGCTGTAAACAATACGGACAAGTATTGTATAGACAAGAGATAGTGCAACCCTGTGGTGCAGCCAGAAGAATCTGCAGCTGAACACTCTTAAAACTGTAGAGATGATAGTAGATTTTAGAAGAAGATCTCCTATTCTACCACCTCTTTCAATATTAGGCAACTCAGTATCAGCAGTAGAGACCTTCAAATTTCTGGGTTCTATTATCTCCGAGACTTGACATGGACACCTAACATTAAAATCATGGTTAAAAAGGCACAACAAACAAGGTTCTTCCTGTGTCAACTCAAAAAGCTCAGCTTGCCCAAGGATCTGCTGATACAGTTCTGCAGAGGAATTATTGAGTCATTTATACCTCAGTAACTGTCTGGTTTGGCACAGCTACCAAACAGGACAGGTACAGGCTTCAACGGATAGATAGGACTGCAGAAATAAGAATTGCAACCAGCCTGGCTTCCATTGAGGAACAAACCAGAAAGAGGGCTGAAAAAGTACCTATTGACCCCTCGAATCCTGGACATAATCCATTTCAACTTTTCCCATAAGGACACCGCTATGAAGCATTGCATGTCAAAACAACTGGACATAAAGATAGCTTTTTTTCATGTTTCATCTTTTCTCATTTTTCCTACTACCTTCTCCTACCGTATTTCCCCGAAAATAAGCCCTCCCCCGAAAATAAGCCCTCCCCTAAAATATTTAAACCCTATGTGCAGCCGGTCCCTGCCATTTCCTCTGGTTAGGATTCGGGAGACAGAGCTGGAAATCGGGTAAGACGGCAAGAGGATCCCTGTCTTACTGCATACGCCCCAAAATAATAAAACCTCCCTGAAAATAAGGCCAAGCGCTTATTTCAGGGTTCAAAAAAATATAAGACAGGGTCTTATTTTCGGGGAAACACAGTATTGGTTTCTTATGATTTATCAGTTGTTTGTAACTTATGATTATTGTAACTATGATTTATGACCTGTGACCTATTACTTGCTGTTTATATACACACTGTGAGGTTATACACTAGAGACAAATTCCTTATGTGTCTGATCACATTTGGCCAGTAAAGAATTCTATTCTAATTTGATTGAAAATTTGAAGCAAAAGATGAAAACTTTAAGCGGGATGGGGGGGGGGGACCCAAGACTGAATAAGTGATAGAATTATTTGCATTTCCTATTTATTTGAAATATTTCTTCTAACATACATATTCCTCACTTGTAGAATGAAAAAAAAAACTGTGCAGATGATGTTCAAGAAAGCGAAATACAACATGACCTACATATCGGACTATCAGACTTCAATTCTTGAGATTCCATATGTTGATAATGAGTTGAGCATGATCATTCTGCTCCCTCAAAAGATTGAAGATAACTCTACTGGATTGGAAAAGGTGAGTTTTTCTTTCATGAAACAGAATTTAAGCCCTTGTCCACCTGAAAACATCTCTGATACTAACTTATGCTATCCACTGAAGCTTGGCTTTGTGCAACTATAGTTAGTTGGGTTGGATTGGGTTGGCTATTGGGTTCACTTCAGTGGTGAAATGTAAAATGTGTTACTACCAGTTTTGTGGGCGTGGCTTGGTAGGGGATAAAGTGACTGGGTGGGCGTAGCCAACTTTTTTTTTTTTTTTACTTTTAAAACCATTTTTTCTACAACCTCTTCAGCTGAAGAGGTTGTTAAAAAATGCTTTTAAAAGCCTCTGACAATATCAGAGGCTTTTTTTTTTTTTTACTTTTAAAAGCATTTTTTCGGCCGAAGAGTTTGTAGAAAAAATGCTTTTAAAAATTAAAAAAAAAGCCTCTGATGATTGCGCAGCTCATCTGGGCATGGGGGGGGCAGAGATTTTTGCTACCGATTCTCAGAACCACCCGCCGCCATCGCTACTGGATCGGGCAATCCGGTCCGAACCGGGAGCATTTCACCCCTGGACTTGTATTTTCCCCTATTTTGAAAAGATGCAAAAAAATCTCAAATGCACGAGCTAATGCAGTTATGTCTCAAAACATTGGATATATTGATGTGATTCCACTGATGAGGTCAAGGCAAATGATAAGATTGCGAATAGCATGCAGTACTTCTTCTAACAGTACAAGGAAGTCATTAAGAACTGGTTGCTTGAGATAGATTATGCTAGTATTGCATCCTCTTCTCTAGCTGCCCCAAACAAAGAAGGACTATATTGTCTGAAATAAACCAAGTCCTGATTTATTCATCCATCTCCAAAGGATGAGACGGATGGGATCTGGAAATGAATTTTCTCAGAAATATTATCTCAGCTACATCATATCCTTTCCATAGGAACAGGCTAGTGTCCATTCTTGTCTTTTTGATATAAGCCCAAAAGCATGTTCTGCACATTCACAAGGTAATTTTATCTCTGATAATTGTATAGGGAGTCCTTGACTTAATGCCCATTCATTTAGTGACCATTGAAAATTAGTGCTGAAAAAAGCCTGGTCCTTACGACTGTCACACCATTCTCCCATGTAAATGTAAACAACTCACATTTACAACTGATTGCAGTGTCCTGCAGTCACATGATCATGATTTGTGACCTTTTATGCCAACTTTCCAGCAAAAAACACTATTCCGTTCACACTTGGGATAACCACAGATTCTTAAGTGTGGTGATTCTCTTAACATCCATCATAAAAATTGTAAAATTGGGTCCAGCTTGACTTACAACCACAATGACGTACAGCAGACTTTCCGATCCCAGTTGTTGTGGTCTAAGTTGAAGACTACCCGCAGTTAATATTTTAACAGCAACTATTTTATATTCTTATTCTTGTATTATTTTACATTCTTTGGTTACATCTTTGTATTTGTTCTTAGCTGTGTTATATTTAAAATTGGAGAAGTGTAGCTATGCTGTAACTTAGAGGTTTTAAAGTTAGAAAATCAATACAAAACATTCAACTATTAAAATTGTCCTAGGCCAGTGATGGCTAAACTTTTTCTCTTCGGATGCCGGCACCCATAATGAAATGTGCGGGGGGGGGGGGCACGCATGCACCCCCCACACACACATTAAAAATTTTAGCAACCAGTTCTTTGCCCTGTTGCTGGTTGAGTGTGGCCATGGTGGGCGTGGCCTACTCAGTCTCCTATACCACGGTGGGGGGACATTTTCACCCTCCCCAGACTCCAGAGGCTTTCCTTGAGCCTCCAGGAGGGCAAAAATGACCTACCCCGGGCTCCGGAGCCCCTCCGGAGGTCAGAAATAGGCCCATTTCCAGACTTCCGGTACTTCCAATAGACCTGTTTTTCGCCCTCCCCAGGCTCCAGAGGCTTTCCTCGAGCCTCTGGGAGGGCGAAAACAGCCTCCTTCGGGCTCCAGAGGCCAGAACTGGGCCTGGCCTGTTTTTTGCCCTCCCAGAGCCTCCGTGCAGGCCCTGCACTTACCTGGCATCCAAAATGGGCCACGTGGAGACTCCTGGGAGGGGCAGGGTTGGGTGGAAGGGACCAGCCAGTCCTTGCAACTACTGATCCAGTGACCAGATATAAAATTAACATCCGGTTCTCCTGAACCGGTCCAAACTGGCGATCCCCCTCCCCCTGTTTTGGGTCTAGTAGGCCTCCCTGAAGACTCCTGGGCCCAAAAATGGGCCGTGGGGTAGGTGCACACCACCCCCGTGCTCCCTTCCCCATGCACGTGACCCCCGACCCCCCCACATGCACGTGTGACCACTCCGCATGCGCACGTGACCCCCTGCGCATGCATGTGCATCTTCCGCATGCCGCCTGCTCCCTGCACATCCTGAAAATCAGTTGGCCAGCAGGAGGCACAGGCATGCATGCACAGTGGAGCTCAGCTGGGCAATGGCTCGCATGCCCACCAAGAGGCCTCTGTGTGCCAGCTGTGCCACATGTGCCATAGGTTTGCCATCACAGTTCTAGGCAAACTGATCAGCAATGCCTGACATCAGATGAAATTTTTTTGCAGTCTGAAGTGGAAAGTTTAGATTGGGAAAAAAGTATGGAATGCTAGCTTAAGGAAATTGGTGTTCTGTCCCCGTCTCACACACGCACACAAACAGACAGCCGGGGTTAAATAAAACTGGCAGACAACAAATTCTTTCGATAAGAGGATTGGCAGCAACCCAGTAGCTGCTTGCCAAGAACTTTACTCATAAAGGGAGGGGTTGTTCCTCCAGCAGATAAACCCAACAAGATACACACAGTTCAAGAATTGTCAAGTCCAGTTCGTATTAAATCCAAGGCAGATAACGTTGTTTCCAAAGATGCAATGTGACTCGCTAGTAGTTTAGTTTTGTCCGTCACAGAGTCTGAATGGCCATCTCACCCCCTTTTATCCCGTGGGGTGTGGTCCAGTGACTCAGCTTAATCTCTGGCACGCCGCCTCTTCTGCTGCGTTCGCTTGTCTCTCCGATGCTGGCGTGGATCCAGCCAAGACTTATCTCCATCACTGTCCGACTGCGAAGATATACGTGGCTCCTGGCCAATCTCTTCTCCTGCGGGAGACACCTGAGGCATTGCCAGAGAGGAGGGTCCTGGAGAGGGAGGCCTGGCCAACTCCTCTCCTTCATGTTCGGAGCCTTCTCCCTCCGATAAGTTGGCCTCGGGGGTCGGAGTCACAACAATTGGGTCACTGAGATAGCTTTATGAAAGTCTTTATGAGCATATATTTATTTTTTTATTTTATTTTATTTTGAATTTGTATACCGCCCTTCTCCCTGAGGACTCAGGGTGGTGAACAGCCAAGTAAAAACATCAAGTACAAATATTAAAATACAATTAAATATATATATATATAAATTTGGCCCCATTAATTAAAAACGATAAACAAAACAATTAAAAACACTTAAAAAATTAGGCCAGCCCGGCTTGCTGGAAAAAGAAGGTTTTAAGGGCACGGCGGAAGGCACTGAGGTCTTTGGAAAGGACCACTAAGGAAAGTTGAAATTTCTCCTATTTCACTTGAAAGGTAATATACAAAATAGTGTTACAGGTGTTATGAAATGTGTGTGTGGGTGTGTATGTGTTATCCATAGTTAATTTATCTTTTTATTTCCACTGGCAAATGACTCTTTATATTTCATGTAAGATGACAATAAATTTCATGTAAGATGACAATAAAATTACAAAGTAATTTTATATGTCCAAACACGGAGGATTTACAGACATTTGCTTCTTTTTCTTGACAAGCTTCAAAATACCTTTTACTGCACTCTTAACAATGCTCTATATTTGATAAAAGTCAGTAGAAGGTTCCTGTCACTATTAAGAAAACAGGTACTGGTATGGTTCTAAGTAAGGTCTACCCTATTTTGGTCACTTTCCTCTAAAGTTCTAGAAGGAAATAGAAGAATTTGCAACTGCTTGTAAGTGTTCAGGATTTTTCAATCACTGCATCATATTTTTTCTACTAGAGTGAAATTATCGGAGTACAACATAGTGTCATACAACCAGGAATTTCTTTCTCCTTTAATGCTTTTCATCTTATTTTAGTTGGAGAGAGAAATTACATATGAGAAACTCATGGACTGGATCAATCCAGAGATGATGGACCTAAGAGAAATTGAACTCTCCTTTCCCAAATTTAAACTGGAAGAAAAATATGACCTGAAGCCAGTTCTAAGAAGCATGGGAATGACGGATGCATTTGATGAGGGCAAGGCAGACTTCTCTGGAATGTCAACTAACAATGATTTAGTCATATCTGAAGTTGTTCACAAATCATTCATAGAAGTCAATGAAGAAGGCACTGAGGCAGCTGCTGCCACTGCTGTAGTCATGATGTTGCGGTGTGCAATGTTTGTGCCAGAATTTAAAGTTGACCATCCCTTCCTCTTTTTTATTATCCAACGACTTACAAAGAGTATCCTGTTCTTTGGTAGGTGTTGTTTTCCATAATGGGTACATTCTGCCTGTGTTGATTAAATGCCTTAATTCTTCCTCAGATTTTTATAAGCCACTTTTCTTTCATTGCCACACATTTGATTTTCTCTGTATTTGGGATATACTTCCTTCTAGTCATATTTGATTTTAATTCTTTCTTTTCAGGATAGAATTATCTTTAATGAATTCAAGGAAATAATTTTAGTACAAGGTTCTGGTGCTCTGATTGCTAGATAAATTCTTCACAATTGCTTTGAGATGTATGGGAATTTGGGACGCGGGGGATTTCACCACATATGCTCTGTATAAATTTCCATCTGATGATACATGTTACTGTTCAGTCAATTCAGCTTGCCTTAGCACATCATGGTTTGTCATTTTTGTGATGTCATGGCTAGCCATGGATGTCGCTGCTGAGCTTATAATGTGTAAATAGCCCTAGAATAAATACACATAACACATTTTGGTGGTCATAAATAAGAATGCAGTTGAGAAATATGAATCCTATGTTGGAACTCAAATGTATGGATCATTTAATCAAGCCATTGTATTGTATGCAATTCAGATATCTATAAATGATACTTACCTTATACAGTCCTTATTTTGATGCAGATTTTCATGTATTCAGAATTGAAATAAAAGCATTTGATTGTTGCTGTCAAATTTACTATCAGCTAGTGTGGTGAGAGAACACAGTATTACTGAGCTCATGTATCACTGAAATTGATTAAATTTACACACTTTGAACCATCATTCATTAACTTTATTGCAGTAGGCTGAGATTATGCAATACACTAAACCAAAACTAAACAAATCACTTAACATGCATGAAAATGACAAATATGTTGAAACAGTTGTTTATTATAGCGTATGTTAGTCTAGTTCTAAACAAAAGCAGAGATTTTATCTTGCATAATTGTAAAGTGAAAGCCAATTAAACAAAGCTAATGATAGGTCCTCGGTATTGTAGATTGGAGAAAAGGGATAGAGCGAAATCCTAGATTGGGGTTATCCTTGCGTTAGGAGGTTGGAACAAAATAGTCTAGACACCTCTTTCACTTTTAGCAAATAGCTGAAACAAGACTGTATTATCTTCCCTTCTCTGTAGGGTAGTTTGTTAAATTTAAGTAAGTTGAGATGATAATTTTTTTTTCAAACACTTGCTGAGGTTATGAGAACCTGAATGAAAATTCTAAAGCTTCAATTGATGTTGCAATACAATAGAGCACATTCACTGATATAAACTGAAGCCTTTTGTCATTTGTCATCTACAATGAAATATTTTTATTATTCTACAGAAAATTAATTCAAAAGAAATGTGAATAGCAGCAATCATGGTTGTGATATCCCTGGCCTCAATTTTATTGCCCTCAAAGGGCCAGTAGCCAGATTGTCACAACTAAGTGGGCGTGGCTGACTTGACACCACTCCACGCTGCCTTGTCAGGATGGAACAAGTCACACCAGCTAACTTGACAGGACAATTTGGTGCCCCACAAGCTCCTCGCCTCCCCAAACTGCTGGCAGCCAAGTGTGTGTGCGCACACACACACACACACATTCCAGGTTTGGGGACTTCTATCCACAGAGGAAGGAAAGGGCCTTCTCCCCAAGGCCAGGCATGATTGGAAGTTTGTTAGCTCAGATGTGGATAAAAGCCTCCAAGCTTGGAATAGTGTGTGTGGGTGCGCGTGCGTGTGTGCACACTGCATATGAAAGAAAACATTCTTTTCCCAATCCCAGACATTGTTGGCATTTCTTTGTCTGGTTTCCCTTCCCAGCAAAGCAGGAGGCAAAGGACGCTGCTGCATGTGGAAGCGTGAAGTGGGGTATGTTTTCCCTCACAACAATAACAATAACAGAGTTGGAACAGATCTGATAGGTCATCAAGTCCAATCCCCCACCCAACCAGGAGGCCCTACACCGTTTCTGACAGATGGCTGTCCAGTCTCCTCTTGAAAGCTACCAGTGGTGAAGCTCCCATAACTTCTGAAGGAAAGCTGTTCCATTGGTTGATTGTGCTCACTAGAAATAAGGAGAAATTTTCTGACAGAACTACCAACCCATGGAACAGAAGTTGCCTTCAGAAGTTGTGGGAGCTTCATCACTGGAAGCTTTCAAAGAGAGACTGGACTGGCGCCTGTCAGAAATGGTGTAAAGAACTCCTGCTTGGGCAGGGGGTTGGACTAGATTGGGGGTCTCCAACCTTGGCAACTTTAAGACTTGTGGACTTCAACTCCCAGAATTCCTCAGCCAGCATGCGCTGGGAGTTGAAGTCCACAAGTCTTAAAGTTGCCAAGGTTGGAGACCCCTGGACTAGATGACCTATAAGGCTCCTTCCAACTCTGTTAATCTTTCCTAACTTCCTGACAAGACTACATATATTGGAACCTTTAAAAGCAAGTTCTCTTCTGTAGGTTTCTTGCGCCCATTTGGCTTCTGCTGCTCCTGACACTTGGTTTTCCTTCTCCCCCGCCCTTTCTCCTTTCCCCCTTCATCTTCTCTGCTGTCTTCTTTCCTTTCCTCCCCTCTCCTTCCTCTCCTTCCCTTTCAGCGAGCTTGTGCTGGGGCGGTGGGCTAAGTGCGTGTATTGGAGGCACTGTGCGGATGTGGGCAAATTGATAGCAACCCCACCCTTCCTCCTACACTCGCTCTTCTCAGGCCTTCCAACTCTCCGAGCCTGCCTGGTTCAGAACGCTTCCCCTACCAGCCAGTGAAAGTGGAGAGTCCCGGGGCTTTGCCGTCTCGTCAGCTCCAGAGGCAGCCCGGCGCTCCCTTCCTCGCAAAGTCAAGACCGGCGGGGATCTGTGCGGCTCCGGCTCTCTGCGCATCCAACCCACCTTCAGCATCGCCACTGGTCTTCTCTCGGGAGGTAAGGGCGGGTCCCGCGACGGTCGCTTTTTGCCATTTAAAGCTTGCGCCTGCTCTCCCGTCGTCGTTGCGCGGTAAATTGGTGCTATAATTTCAAAGGTGCCTCCGAAATTTATTTATTCTTTCTTTCTTTCTTTCTTTCTTTCTTTCTTTCTTTCTTTCTTCTTTCTTTCTTTCTTTCTTTCTTTCTTTCTTTCTTTCTTTCTTTCTTTCTTTCTTTCTTTCTTTCTTTCTTTCTTTCTTTCTTCTTTCTTTCTCCTTCCTTCCTTCCTTCCTTCCTTCCTGTTTGCAAGGTTTCCTGTGGTCACTATGGGTAAACTGGCTAATGCAAACTCGCAGTTTGCTCTGGATCTTTTCCAAAAGTTGAAGGAAGTCCACCCAACCGGCAACGTTTTCTTTTCTCCGCTCAGTGTATCGTCCGCCCTGGCCATGATCGTTTTAGGGGCCCGGGGTAACACAGCTTCGGAACTCTTGAAGGTCAGCAGGTATTTTTCTGATGTGTTAATATGGCTGCTATGAGGAATTGTGGCTCTTTTGTAAGGAGAGTTGTATTTTAAGTGCTGTATATTTGAAAGACCCCTCCATTACGGAGAAGCTATATTGGGATTTAAGAGAGAGAGAGTCGACACAGATTCTGTAATTTATATCCTAAAATAATTTTGAATAAAGCCACCTTTTTTCTCACTTCTCCAGGACAGAATATATAGTAAACACATTTCAGACTTTGGTAAATCCGCAATTTTTCCTCGTATATGTATAACCCATCGTATTAATCTTATATATTGTATGCGCCTCTTTTAAGATGAAACCTAAGTTTGCAAAGAATGGTCCATCCTAATGTTTGTTTATATATGCTTTCTACCTGCGAATCTGTAGATTTCTGAAATGTCTTCATTGCTCTTAGGCAAAATTATGTTTGCACTAACCCTAATTTCACTGTTCTTATTGATACTAAGTTAGGGCTTATCTTTTCCATGCAGACACTTCATTTTGATGGTGTTGAAGACCTTCATTCAGTATTTCACATGCTCAATGCTGAAATTAACCGGAGCAACGCACCCTACATTCTGAAACTTGCTAATAGATTGTATGGAGAAAAAACTTTCAACTTTTTGTCTGTAAGTAGATTGCTAAATAAATAAACATCAATAATGTATGGGTCATCAGAATGGCTTTATAAATCAATTTCAAATTTTATTAGACTATGATATTCATCAATACAGTTATCCTTTGCTTTAAGGGAATCTTTAATCTCTCTTAATTAGGCCTGCTATGGTCAGCCCGGCCCAAAATGATACAGTGAGATCTAATCACATCCAGTCATTCATTTTCTTACACCTAATGGACAGAATCTAGCCAAATGGATCTTATAACCACCAAACCTGAGAGATTGCAGGGTGTGGCTATTCTGAACCTCTTCCCCTCTCCATTTTGGGACTGCGCAGCCTCTTAAACTGGGTGTCTCTCTGGGAAAACACCGTGTTTTGCTAAAATTTCCTATCCCCACCCCCTATTGCTTCTCCAGGTGCACATTCCATCCCAGCTATGAAATATGCCATTTTACAGGTTCATTCTTTTTCTCTCTTTTATCCACATACAGTCATGTTTCTTGGGAGATATAGAAGTATTTCAGCTCACCTTATGAGATAGATCCAGATTTTCCAATTAGATTTGAATTATATTAAACATACAAGTTATATGTATAACATGCATCTCTTTTCAGAAGAATAAACTTTCCTCATTTTATCATACAAATATGAATAAATAAATAAATAAACAAACAAACAAACAAACAAACAAACCATTCTGTTCAGGGCACATTTCAGTTGAAACAAATGATGCTAATCTCATGGTTAAAGTATTGAAGAAGGCTAGTGGTATTGTTCAGATTAAGCATAGTTATCATGACAGTGAATTGGAAAATTTCAACACAGACTAGGTCAACCTATTAGAAAGAGACATGTCTTCGTTATGCTATTATGAGTGCTTGTCTAAATGCAGTTAGAAAATTCTACAGCATGACTGATGAAGACAAAGGCTGCCAAGTAGGAACAGGGAGATTAACTGGATCTCTGATAGATTGGACATGATAAATCTTAGTATTTATTACTTATTAAATGTACATGCTTCTCCTCCTGCTATCCATAATAATTATATTTATTTTATAATTATAAGTATTATATGTCTCATTTTTCTAGGATTTCTTGACTAGCACCCAGAATTTGTATGGAGCTGAATTATCCACAGTGGACTTCTCAAATGCTCCAGACAAGGCAAAAAAGGAAATTAATCAATGGGTTGAAGAGCAGACTGAAGGTGAGATTTTTTTTAAAAAATTAACAACTATAGTTTTATCTTTTCTTGGATCTACATGATAGTCAAACCCTTTTATCAAATAAAAGAATTGATAAAAGAGAAACCAAAATAATAGTTTGGAACAGTTAATTTTACTGAATGGGTTCTTTTTGTATACTGTTTAATAAGGGATCCAGTAAGCAGCATGTAATTTGAGAATAATTGCAGAGCAGAAATGTAAATTTAAAAAAATAAAAATAGAAATGTGCATTGTCTATTAGTCTCATTGATCTGGTAATATTATTTAGACCTCAGTTCCTGGCACAGCTAATTAACAGTGAAATTTCTCCATCAAGGTAAAATCCCAGAGTTGTTATCCGAAGGATCCATCAATGAAATGACTAAATTGGTTTTGGTGAACGCTGTCTACTTTAAAGGCAACTGGGCAAAGGTATTTAAAGAAGAAGATACTGAAGACAAGCCTTTTAGACTAAATAAGGTAAATGGTTATTTTCAGTCTCTTTTCTGTAATAATAGCTTGTTGTTTAGACATAAGTAGGAATACGCACTCATGAAGTATCAGGTCCAAGCTTTCATATGATAGCGCTGAGCACATAACCCGAACTTATCAGATAGGTTAGTGTTTTTGAAGCCTTATATTAGTTCCTTTGACCCTAATCACTAGTTACAAATCTCAACTTTCCCATAAATTAAACATAATTCCATTCTGAAATATTTTACTGAATTTAGCATTGTCATTTGCTGTAATATATGAAGGAAAACCATAAAGCAATTTTTATTTTTTTTATACTATCGGTAGTTTTTTCCCCTTGGTTTACTGTAATTTTTCAATTGATTTAGATGTTCTGTTTATCCTTAACTTGGAAATGAATTTAATTTAGTTTAGTAGAGTTGTATAGTTCCAAAGAGCAGCTATATATTAATATAGTTTTGCAAAGATTCACTTCCGAGAACTAGTTCTATCAATTTCAGCATATACATACAGAAGATTTCTTTCTTTGTTGTTTGATAGGGTCCTCACTGTAATATTTTTTTAAAAATCCAGACAGAAAAAAAGAATGTGAAGATGATGTTTATGGAACAGGAACTTCCTTTTGGTTATATCCCTGAATGCAAGTGTCGTGTGCTGGAATTGCCATACAAGGGAGAGGATCTTAGCATGATCATCCTTTTGCCTGACAGCATTGAGGATAATTCCACAGGCCTGGAACTGGTGATTCTATTGTTTCCTGCTATTGCTATAAAATTATTGTCCTAAACAAAATTATTCTAAATATCACATGAATACAGTACAGGACAAAATTGTGGTTTATGTGATAGATTGAGTGGGTCCACATACATCAGTGGGGTTCAGAAGAGAAGCTGCGTTATTCTGGTGATCTCCAGAAAATCTTTAAAAGTTTTATGCATTTTTGTACAAGACACTATGAATCCTTAATCATATTGGGTGAAAGAGTTGAAAACAGATTAGATCTGAATTAGATTTAAATAGTATCTTAAATAGTAAACAGTAAGGTATCTATGAAATAGATGCTTTTTATGTTATGTTTGGACAGGACAACCACGGTTTTGCTTGAAAATACTTCTTTAAAAATCTATGTTTACTTCTAATAATGTTTATGCTATAAACTCTGCATTAATTTTTTCCCATCTAAACATCAAGCTGCAAATAGTTTAGCATGTGGCAGAAACCCTCTTGCACTCAGTTCAATGCCATATTTTTATTGCTTCCCATAGAGAAAGACCATGTCTGGGGTAGAGAAATGTGCTCTCTGGTTCTGCAAATTCATTCATACTGAAGTCAGAGATGTTCTGTTTTTCAGCAAGGAGTTCCTCTGTGCTGAATTGAAAATATTGTGGCACAATGATGCAAAATTACTTCTCTTTCTTTGTCTTTTTAGCTGGAGAAGCAGCTTACTTTGGAAATACTGCAAGGATGGACCCAGCCAAAGTATATGAATTCTGGTGTGGATGTCAAAGTACATCTACCTAAATTTCAGCTGGAAGAAAACTATGATCTTAAATCTTACTTTGCAGCATTGGGGCTAGTAGATTTGTTTGACAGTGGCAAGGCTGATTTGTCTGGAATGTCAGGAGTTCAGGATCTCCATGTGTCTAAAATTGTTCACAAGTCCTTTCTAGAAGTAAATGAAGCGGGCACTGAAGCAGCAGCAGCTACTGCTGCTACAGATGAGGATTATTGTTCTCCCATGGTGGAGGATTTTAATGTTGACCATCCTTTCCTATTTTTTATCCGTCATAATCCAACAAACACGATACTTTTCCTTGGTAAATTTGCTTCTCCATAAAGAGTATCGTAAGTCATAAAACCAATTTCCAGTCTCCTATAATATACACGTTCCTCTGTTTGCTTGGGGGAATTGCCATGAACAAGTTGGGTTCCTCCAGATGTTTTCCATGTTTGATTTTCTTGACCTCCTGAGCCAATTAATAGATTTTGTGTGACACTTTGCTCTAAAGCATGGCTGTCAAACTCGCGGTCCACAGGCCAGATGAGTCATGCGCTGGCCATGCCCTCGCCCGGATTTAGCGAAGGGGAAAAAAGTCGTGATACGTCACATCATGATGCCATGATGTAAATTTGATACCCCTGCTCTAAAGGGTACCCATCTCTGATTTAGGACATTCAGCTGTGTTTGACTGCAGTTCCTTTAATTTCCAGCTAGCTAGGAATTCTGGGGATTGTAGTTTGAGCTGTTTGGAAGCCATCAGGCAGCTACTGTGCATTGTATTTGTAAAACGAATAACACATGAATTACTGAAATAAAGTTGGCCTTCATTTAATATAATGTAAGAGTCTTTGGTCTAGATTCTTTTGTCCTTGAAAATCATTGATAATATAGAATCCAGAACGTGACTTTTTTGTCCATATTGTTACATATTGTACATATTGTTGTCCATCCTTTCAGGCATTGATTTTATTAAAGATAGGTGTGAAATAAAGAAATTCTAATGACATTTTGAAGGGGTTGAAAGACTAGCTGTGAATATGAACAAACACAAGTAGGAGTCCCTGTTCAGATTACATCTTGATGGTAAAGGAATAAGAGTCAGCATCTCTCCATCCTTACCGTGTTTGTATACTGCCATTCTAATCATATTCAATTTTAATACTTTCTTTCCAGGATAGAATTATCTTTAATGAATTTAAGGAAATAATTTTAATACAAGGTTCCGGTGCTCTGATTAATAGATAAATCCTGCACAATTGCTTTGAGATGTATGGGAATTTGGGATGCAGGGGAGAAGTTACTGTGCATGAATCAAGGTTTCACAACATAGACGTATCTGCCCTGTATACTTCTCCATCTGATGATACATGTTGCTGTACAGTCAATTCAGCTTGCCCTAGGACATGGTTTGTCATTTTTGTGATGTCATAGCTAGCCTTGGATGTCACTGCTGAGCTTATAATAACAAGTGTAAACAGTGCTAGAATGAATACACATAACACATTTTGGTAGTTATAAATAAGAATGCAGTTGAGTACAGTCAATTCAGCTTGCCCTAGGATAGTGATGGCTAACCTTTTTGCCGTCACATGCCAAAAGTGGGGGGAGCATGGGGGGTCGCAAGTGCTTGTGCCCACATCCATAATTCAATGTGTCCCGCCCTCCCACGCATGCACATGTGACCCCCCCACACTTCCCCTGCTTTTGGCACGTGATGGCACGGTGGGCCCAGTAGGCCCATTTTTCCCTCTCCCCAGGTCCAGAGGCTTTCTAGGAGCCTGGGGAGGGCAAAATCTGCCTTCTCCATCCCCCCAGAGGCCTTCCGGAGGCTGGAAACAGCCAGTTTCCCAACTTCCAGTGGGACCAGAAGGCCTGAAAATCAGTTGGCATGCGCACTGGAGCTGAGCTAGAGCAACACTTGCATGCCGACCAATATGGCTCCGCGTGCGACCTGTGGCACCTGTGCCATAGGTTCGCCATCACGGCCCTAGGACATGATTTGTCATTTTTGTGATGTCATGGCTAGCCATGGATGTCTCTGCTGAGCTTATAATAACAAGTGTAAACAGTGCTAGAATGAATACACATAACACATTTTGGTAGTTATAAATAGGATTCATATTACTCAACTGCATTCTTATCTTGGAACTCAAATGTAGGGATGATTTAATCAAGCCATTTTATTGTATGCAATTCAGATATCTACAAATGATATTTACCATATACAGTTCTTATTTTTATGCAAATTTTCATGTTTTCAAAATTGAAATAAAAGCATTTGTTGCTGTCAAATTTATTATCAGCTAGCGTGGTGATAGAATACTGTATTACTCAGCTCACGTATCACTGAAATTAATTAAATTTACACACTTTGAACCATCATTTATTAACTTAATTGCAATAGGATGAGATTACACAATACACTAAGCCAAAACTAAACAAATCACTTAACATGCATGAAAATGACAAATATGTTGAAAGACTCATTTATTATACCATATGTTAGTCTAGTTCTAAACAAAAATAGGGATTTTATCTTGCATAATTGTAAAATGAAAGCCAATTAAACAAAGATAATGATAGGTCCTCAGTATAAAATTGTAGATTGGAGAAAAGGGATAGAGCAACAAATCCTAGATTGGGGTTATCCTTCTTGCGTTAGGAGCTTGGAACAAAATAGTCAAAAGTTAAGTTCAAAACAGATTTTAAGCCTTTGTCCATCTGTAAACATCTCTGATACTAACTGTACAGTGTCTTTTTTAATACTGAAGCTTGGCTTTCTGCAGTTACAGCTAGTACTATTGGGTTGACTTGTATTTTCCCCTATTTTGAAAAGCTGTAAAAAAAAAAACCCTCAAATGCATGAGCTAATGCAGTTATGTCTCAAACCATTGAATCCATGATGTTATTCCACTGATGGAATAGGCAGTTGATAAGGTTACCAATAGTATGCAGTACTACTTCTGACAGTACAAGGGATTCATTAAGAACTAGTTGCTTGAGACAGATTATGCTAGTATTGTATCCTTTTCTCTAGCTGCCCCAAACAAAGAAGGACTATATCAGGAATGTCAAACTCGACTTCATTGAGGGCCACATCAGGGTTGTGTCTGGGGTGGCCAGGGTGGACACTTGCTGAGGTCATGAGAACCTGAATGAAAATTCTAAAGATTGAATTGATGTTTCAAGTACGATGGAGCACATTCATTGGCATAAACAGAAGAAGCTCTCTGTCATTTGTTGTCCATAATGAAATCTGTTTTCACGATTGTTCGGAAAATTAATTCAAAAGCAATGTGAATAGCAGCAACCTTGGTTCTGATATCCCTGGCCTCTAAAACAGGGGTGTCAAACTGTTGGCTCATATTTAATTGGTTGTCCACTAAGACTCCAAGATCCCTCGCACACTTACTGCTATTAAGCCTAGTTTCTCCTATGCTATATGTGTACTTTTGGTTTTTCTTGCCTAAGTATAAGCACTTACTTTTCCCTACATTGAATTTCATTTTGTTAGTTAGGCCCCAGTGTTCAAGTCTGTCAAGATCTATCTGGATCTTCAGCCTATCATCTAGAGTGTTGGCTATTCCTACTAGCGTAGTATCATCTGCAAATTTGATAACTTCCACTTCTATTCCTTCATCTAAGTTATGAAGATATTGAAGAGTACTGGGCCTAAGACGGAACCTTGTGGTACCCTTATCTTTGATTTTTGTTTCACAACTTTGTTCATTCTGAGCCTTTGCTTTCCTTGCTTCCTGACAAGACTACATATATTGGAACCTTAAAGAGCAAGTTCTCTTCTGTAGGTTTCTCAATCCCATCTGGCTTCTGCTGCTACTTTTGGTTTTCCTTCCCTCTCCTACCACCCCCACCCCCAATTTTCCTCCTTTCCCCCCTCCTCGTCGCCTCTCCTCTCCCTTCCTTTCCGTTCAGCGAGCTTGTGCAGCTGTGGCGGGTGGGCTAAGTGGGTATATTGGAGGCATTATGCGGATGTAAACAAATAGATAGCAACCCCATCCTTCCTCCTACTCTCGCTCCTCTGAAGCCTGCCAACTGTCGAAGCCTGCCTGGTTCAGATCTCCTCCCCTACCAGGCGGTGAAGGTCAGAGTTGCAGGGCGCTACCACCTCGCCAGTTCCAAAGTCCCCCCAGCGCTCCCTTCCTCCAACGTCAAGACCCTGGATCTGTGCAGCTGTGGCTCTCTGCACATCCAACCCACCTTCAGCAGCAGCGCTGGTCTTCTCTTGGCAGTTCCAAAACGTAGGAGTCCCCTGATCTAGGATCTTGGCTATTCCTGCCAATTTAGTATCATCCGCAATTTTGATAAATTCCCCTTCTATTCCCTCATCTAAATTATTTATGAAGATATTGAAGAGTATTGGGCCTAAGACAGAACCCTGTTGTACCCCACTGCTTATTTCCCTCCATGTAGATGTCGTAGCATTAAGGACTACGCGTTGAGGATGGTTTGTTATCCAGTTACAAATCCATCTGATGGTCATGCTATGTATCTCACTTTTTTCTAGCTTACCAAGAAGTAGGTTGTGGTCTACCTTGTTGAATGCCTTGCTGAAGTCTTAAGTATACTATGTCCACAGCATTTCTTTGGTCTACTAATTTAGTCACTATGTCAAAGAATGAAATAAGATTGGTTTGGAGTAATCTGTTTTTAACAAACTGTGCTGACTTCTACTTATTACTTTACTCATTTCTAGATGTTCGCAGATGTTTTTTGATTATTTTTTTCCAGTGTCTTCCTGTGTATTGATGTTAGGGGGATTGGTCTGTCGTTTCCATGGTCTCTTTTTTTCCCCTTGTTTGAAGATGGGAACCACATCAGCTCTTTTCCAGTCCTCTGATAGTTCCCCAATGATCCAGGATTTCTGAAAGATATGGTACAGTGGTTCTGATATGACATCTGCCAGCTCCTTTAGAACTCCAGGATGTAATCTGTCAGGTCCCAGTGATTTATATTCATTCAACATCAGACAGGTGTTCTCTAACCATTTTTTAAAAATTTCTTTTCACTTTTATTTCTAGTCTATCTTTTGCAGCTATGTTTTTGGTAGGTGGGGCCATAGTTTCTTTTTGCATGAAGAAGGATGCAAAGACTGAGTTAAGCAGCTCTGCTTTCTCTGCTGCCTGTTACTTCCTTTGCTGTTTCCTTGATTTATTTTTCTTGTTATTTATAGGTTGAAAGAAAGGTTAACAATTCTCTTTGACTTTTGTTTCAAAACGTTGTTCATTCTGAGCCTTTGCTTTCCTGGCTTCCTGAGAAGACCACATATATTGGAGCCTTTAAGAGCAAGTTCTCTTCTGTAGGTTTCTCAACCCCGTCTGGCTTCTGCTGCTACTTTCGGTTTTCCTTCCCTCTCCTCCCACCCCCACCCCCCCTTCCCCCCTTTCCCCCCTCCTCCTCGCCTCTCCTCTCCCTCCCTTTCCGTTCAGCGAGCTTGTGCAGCTGTGGCGGGTGGGCTAAGTGGGTATATTGGAGGCATTATGCGGCTGTGAACAGATAGACAGCAACCCCACCCTTCCTCCTCCTCTCGCCCCTCGGAAGCCTTCCAACTCTCGAAGCCTGCCTGGTTCGGGGAAGGTCGGAGTCCCAGGGCGCTCCCGCCTCGCCAGTTCCAGAGGCCCCCCAGCGCTCCCTTCCTCGCACCCCCAAGACCCGGGATCTGCGCGGCTGTGGCTCTCTGCGCATCCACCAGCATCGGCGCTGGTCTCCTCTCGGCAGGTAAGGGCGGGTCGCTGGTTGCCGTC